GGGTGTTGTGTAACATCCTTGGTGAGAATTTCTTCCCACGGGTCGGAACCACTATCTTGGTGAGCCGCTGGACGCAGCTCGTGCACATTCCTTTACAACTTTGACATCAAATTATTTTTGCGTCTCTTTTACTGGGAGTTCATTCATTAGATGAAGAACTATTCAAACAGGTCCACTTGTTTTGATTTAATGACCCATTTAGTGACATTTTTGTCATTTTTAGATTTAGAATCAAAATGGGGTCTGGCCGGCATAGTGGGTTTACCCCCCCTCAGAGATAAAGCGTTAAAAGTTTATGACCAATTGCCACCACCACGAATATTATTCTTATTCTTTGAGATTGAAAAGCCTGGGAAAGTGGGCCGTACCTGTCTCAGTACAAAGGCAACAAGGTCGGTCGACTCCCAGAAGCTGGAGTGGAACAGGTGGGGGAGGGCGTTGGTGGGGAAGGAGTGGAGGGCCTCTGGGCAGTACAGCACGTAGTCCATTCGCTTGACCCCCCACCAGCCGCTGGTCACTACAGGGAAAAAAACATAGAACTCATCACAGCATTGGAGTTATATATATGTTTTTTTGCTTAAGTGAAGCTAAGCAATAAGAATATAAAAGAGTAAATCGAAGTACATTGACACAATTATGGTCTCTTCGGGCAAAGAAAAAGTAAGACAGACAGACAGAAACAAAAGAGGGAAAGAAAAGAAGTAGGACCTACAAGTGGGGCCCTTCAAGCTCCCACTTGGATCTGGAGAGATTACAACTGTAAAAAAAAAAAATCAAACAATTTCCACTTTTATTGATCTCTGTGGATAAATCTGGGTCTACAATTATATTCCGATTACCATGGCACACAAACATACATAAATACACAATCAATAAGATAAAAATTTATGATTGTACACAAACCTATCAACAGGCCGTTGTTGGTCACTACTACTGTGCAGTGCAAAGGTTTGAGGTAGGGTTCCTCAAAAACACCCGTCAGAGGTGGCAAAGACAGACAGACAGACAGACAGACAGACAGACAGACAGACAGACAGACAGACAGACAGACAGACAGACAAACAGACAGACAGACAGACAATCCCCACAACTCACCACTGGTGATGGAGCTGACCGTGTTCTCGCCCAGGCCGCTGGACGTACTGGTCATGCTGGTCAGACTGGGCTGCCTCTGTAGCCCGCGTGGCGGTGCACCGTCCGAACTCTGGCTGCTGCGCGACTCGCTGGTGAACAGCTTCAGGTGCTTCTGGATTGTCTCCACTTTATTTTCATAAAAAGAAGAAAAAAAATTGAACTTTTTTTCTAACGCCCAAAAAATCATTTTGTTTTAGTTTTAGTATGAGGTAGACAGCCTCAAGATCCCCACAAACAATCCAATTTCAAGAATGCCTCATTCAGGAATTGAACCACGACCATACACACAACAGTCCAACATGATACTAACTGAGCTAACAGCATGCCCTACGAAGCAATATTTCATGATTTGTATGAAACTAACTCACGCTACAAAATTTTCTTCTGAAACAAAACATAAATCCATTACTATACCAAACACTTACCCACATGAATGGCTCCTTGTAAAACTTAAATCCCTTACCATACCAAACACTTATATAAATGGGCTCCCTCCAAAATTTCAATCTCAAACCGTACCAAACACTTAACAACATAAATGGGCTCCCTGTACTGAAACATAAATCCTCTTATCAAGCCAAACACTCACAGAATCTTTGACGCGGAATATAAACCAATTACCATGCCTGACATTAACATAATACCTCAACGAAATATACAATGCAGCCTCTCTATAACGACCTTTGAAATAACAACATCCTTCGTATAGTGACATAGCGCCCAGATTCCGATTTTTTCCTTATAAAACATTAGTGATATTTTTGGTTGCCTCTCTATAACGACAACTCTCTATAACAACATTTTTTTGTGGTCCCGACGATGTCGTTATAGGGAGGCTGCACAGCAATCCCCTTACTGTACCAAACACTTACATAAATCCCTTACTTTGCCCCCAAAACTCACCCACATGAATGGGCTCCCCGTCCCCTAGAGGGAACTTGGAGTATCGGCACAGGCCCACGGGGGGCACCTGGAGGAAGCCTTCGTGGAGCAGCGGCTCGAGGCGGATGGCGCACGGGTCGTTGGAGTGGAACAGGTTGTACACTTGATGGCAGGCTGGCCGCAGAACTGAGGGGGGTGGGTGGAGGTGGGGTTGAGATTGACAGAGTGGGGGTATGGTGGGGTGGGGTAGGGTGGGGGAGGAGGAGAACAAAAATTAAATATGGACCATGACGGATGTTTATTTTAAAAAAAATTTTTGTAGGTGTTTAATGGTGCTCACAACTAGAACAGCATATGATGGATGTCTTAGCTTTATGCTCTAAAAGAAATTATATAGAGGGCAAAAAAAGGCAGAAGTAGACCATGACTAACTTACTTAAAAATTTGAATAGATAGTAATGGGGAAAAAGACTAGGATAATGTGGTTTTTCAAAGAACATCGGAGAAGAGAAATGAGTGGGGAACCACGATCATTAATGTCTGTTTTAGATCTGGCACTTCAAGAAGAAGATATGACTAACACATGCATGAGTACAGCAGTGTACTTTCTCTTTCTCAAACCCACAGTGCTATGAATATATTTAGCTGTAGCCCCAGAGCATAGCATCGCCCCCCCCCCCCTCGCCCCTACTCATCTACTCAAACCTCTCTAAAAACTAGAGACAGAGGGAGTGACAGGTGTGTGACCGCCCTTACTTCAAGAATCTGACCAGGTTTCGTTTAATCCACTGGGGAAGCCCTTATGGATGTCTGAACTTGGTCCTGCTCTATGGGCCTTGTACGTTCTATTATTTTACCCATAAAACGGACAGAGAAAGAGAGAGAAAAAGAGAGAGAGACAAACAGACAGAGGGGGAGAGAGAGAGAGAGAGAGAGAGAGAGAGAGAAAGAAAGAGAGAGACAGTGAGGGAAAGAGAGACAAAAGAGACAGAAAAAACAGAGATAACAGTCAAAATGGGTAAAAAAAACAGAAGAAAATGAAACACTAAGGGGGGCAAAGGTCACCAGGAAACACCACAGGGACAGACAGGAGAGGAAAAAAACAGAGGATAAGACAAATTAAGAGAATAAGAAATGTCTAACAAATAAAGGATTTTTTTTTTTAATACCCCAAACAAAAATATGAACACACAGTTCAGAGGGACATTTAACAGAGTATGGTCAGATAACTCTGCAAGTAGTCCCACAGCATCTACTCACTTGCCAAGTCATCTCCCCTGTGAATCTTCCGATAAGATAACACAAGTCCCAAAGGAGCACCACACATAAAGAAGTCGGAAACGTCGAAGTCAAACTTTGGCAGTCCTCCCTCGTAGTGGCTCCCGCTGCTGGTCCGCCGCGATATGTCCTTGTCGCGACCTTCACCCGACGCACTCAAATGACCCCCGGAGCTGTGTCGTGACGAGTGCCGAGAGATAGAGGACACAGGGACACTCGCACTGGCACTTAGCTCTTCCTTACACGGTACGTAGATCTCGGAGCAGTCTGGGGCCGCCACCTCGCTTTTGCTCCTTTCCGTACGCTTCGGAGCATTGAGATTCGACGACGCTGTGACCACGGGATTCAAACTCGGGTCACTCAGGCTCATCTCTCGCGCACTACGCGGCATGTGGTGTGGGGGCAAGCCAGCACTTCCGGAGTGTTCCGCACCGATGGCACTGCTCTCGACGCTTTCGTGGCTGCCATAGCGAGAGCCCCCTCGGAGAAACGGAGAACTGGAGGAGGCGAGAGCATCATAGGCCAGGAGGGAGCCTGTCGCATCTGCCATCAGACACACCTGGACAAACAGGAAAGATACCAGAGTATGAATCAAGTGCTTTTTTCCTGGTAAAAGGTTTTTAAAAAATAAAACAAAACACACGCACGCACGAACGCACGCACGAACGCACGCACGCACGCACACACCACCACCACCACCAAAAACAACAACAAAAACAAGAGTAAAAAACAAAAACAACAACAAAAACAAGAAACAAAACAACTTTACTCTCTTCCTTCAGAACAGGTAATAACTATTATAGAAAACAGCGCACTGCAAATTTATTAGCATTTGTGTCACAACACGGTGGAATCACGCGCTCATCAATTTTGGGGCATGTGGAGTTATTGGTATCATCTTAAGGTTCGTTCATTTGACCATCTTCTGATGAAAAAAATACACGCCTATCTTGAATAGAAGTCGAGGTATTTGCAATTCAAGGAAGTCGGGTTCGCCTGGTTTCAGGGGTAGAAATATTGAGAAAATGGCCACAAAATATGATTTATTTCCCTAGCTTGAGAGTTTGTGGAAACTGAAAATTTACATTTTTTGTGCCTTCCAATCTTTAATCAACATTTTCCAGTAAAATCCACACAGAAATGTGTGGCAACGGGCATGAAAGGTGTTGAGTCAAAAAACGAAAATTTGATAAAAATTCATACACCAGCGGAAAAATACCAGTTTCTTCACTATGACTTTTTTGACGAGCGCCTGATTTCACCACACTGCCTCACATTTCATTTATACTGTCCCATTTAGGTTTAAGCCTTAGACTTGAATTATAATTTCCTAGACAGTTCAGTCATGACAGCTGCTCTCTGTTATCTATACAAGTCTTGCTGCACTGGTGCGTACCAAGGGTGCCTAAATGGAGGGAAAATCCCCTGTCAAGTTCTCACAGCACCTTCCCCCCTCTTGCCCTTCATTTGGTTCCAAATGGAGTCCAATGATGCGCTCTATAGAGAACTGGAATTACATCAGCGTACGTTTTAGTTTTAGCAAGAGTTTTACGGCACTTGCAAAACAATAAGGTCATACAAGTGCCGAAGATTAGAAGTGTTACAAGAGAGTAACAACACAAAAAAGGAGAGATAAGGACGATGGATGTTGATAGGAAAAAAGGAGCAAACCCCACCAGAGCATCCGCCAATCACCCACACGGCTATATGCACGATGTTGCACATTTTATACAAGTCTTCGGCTACAGCAGATATCAAAGTGTTTGAGTATAGAGAAGCATATCGACACTAAAATGGTAATTTAGTGCTGGGAAAAGTAAAACAGATAGACAGAAACCACAGGGAGAACGTAAAGAAGTAGGACCTATCAGTGGCGCCCTCCATCCACATATCACTCATATGACAGTGAGTGAAACAAATCGTTCTCCTGTCTCCTCCTCCACTCACCTGACCAGCAAAGCCGATACCCTCCTCTGAGCGCAGGAAATCGTGAAACACCTGATTGGCCGACGTGACCATGGACGTGACCACTTCCTGATACTCGTAGCTGGCCGTGGCAAAGAGGGCTATGGCACCCAGTGGGACAAAGTTCTGTGTGCGGGTGAGGCCAGCGTCTGGCCCGCCGCTGTTCTGACGCTCAGAGCCAAACGGGGACAGGCTACAGGATTGTGGATGAGAAAGGAAAAGTGTAAAAATAACGGGATGGGAAGGGCAAAGGGAGACAAGAAAATTACTTTGGGTTGAGTTCTAGAGTTTTACAGCACTTGCAACACAATTAGGTCATATAAATGCAGAAGAATAGAGATGTTACTAGGTAGTAATATACAACTTTTACTTTACTTTTCCGATCCAGCAGCCATTTGGGTTCTAGCCCTTCCGTCTGGAGTAATATACAAATAAAAGAAGAAAAGATAAGGACGATAGATGTTTGATAGGAAAGAAGGAGCAAACCACACCAGAGCACTTGCCAACCACCAACGAAAATTATTTCCTCTCACTTATGCAACTCACTTGCACATTTCGCGACCTCAGTGCTTTCGTGTCGTATGGAGATACCACGCCTACAGTGGGTAGGAGGGTTTGTTTTGAGTTTGAGTAAAGAGAAGAATGTTGATACAATAACAGTCCTTTCATGCAGGGAAAGAACAAGACGGACAGACAGACAGACAGGAATAACATGAGGATACAAAAGAAGTAGCATCTATCATGGCTCCCTCTGCCCAAAAATCAGAAAGAGAGGAAAACAGGATATTACATTTGAAGGCCCTTGTCTTCCTGATTACAAAACAGCTTAACTTGTGTTATTAATTTAAAAGTTATGATGATTTTTCTTATATATTTCAAAGCCAGTTTCAGAAAAAATCATGGAGGACATCTATTTAGTATTTCTGTTATCGATCCTCATTTCTGTTATGTGAAACAGTCTCTGACTGGGACAGTAAGGTACCTTCTAGGACTTTGTGAATGATTTTACTACATCAGATATGAGCGTAATCTTAGTGGTAGGGTTGAAAACTAGTAAGAAATAATTAAGATATCTCAGATTTTATCAGAATGAATCTCATCCTCCCGTTCCAAGAGGAAGAGGAAGAGGAAGCAGGTATGTGAGGCAGGTTGGGGGGTGAAGAGAGGGGGGGGGGGAGCTAAAAATGACCAGCCTCCGTACCTAGAGAGCAGAGCCAAAGTCTCCCGACACACGTGTGGACAGGGAACCAGACGGAACTGGATGCTGTTCATGGCCGACTGGTAGTGGGACTGGATGACAGTGTCAAAGGTTGACTTGAGGTTCATCAAGTCTCGCCGCTTCGAGATCAGCTCCTGGGAGGACTCCAGAATGTTGCCTGGAAGGGAGAGTTGCAGGGATTAGATGAGATGAGACGAGATAAGATGAAATAGATAATAGGAGAAAATCTTTACAGCCAGGACGCTGGCATACTAGTTGGGTGTTTCACCATACACATAAATGCGCACCCACCCACACACACACACACACATGCAAGCGTGCCCGCACACGCACACATACACACACACACACACCAGGCACACATAAACGCACACACAAACACACACACACACACAAAGACACACACACACACATACATTTACAATGTGAGAAATATTCAGTGTCTGGTATGTTTTGTTTTTGACTTTCTTTTTTGGAGGAGAGGATACTCTCTGGAACTTAATACGTGATTTTATTCACTTATATCAAAACAAAATGTCACTGACATGCATTTGAAATATATGGTGAGCCAGAACTATTTAACAACTCGGCCATTGGAGTCCCCCACAACTGCTTTGGGAATTCTATTTGTCTTTGTCTGTACATTTGTATCTATGCTCAATAGTGGATGTACACATCTTAAAAGAGTGGAAGTGGAAAGCAATGGCTCAATTCTGGAGTATTTAATTTTATAATGATACATAGCAATGAAAACCTACAATTTAAAAATTCTTAACCTCAGAAAAACGAAAATCCAGCACCATCAAGATCTTAAGAAATTTGAAAGCTACCTTCATTGATAGGTTCTCAAGCATTTTCCAACATAAGGTGGTAAAGTGCGTGAGGTGCGCTGACAAAATGAGTTACTTCTTGGATTTTAGCCCTGTGGACATTGATAGATAAGTAAAATTCATAGACAGAGTTTATAGAATTTATTACATTGAATGAGTTTTTTTTTTTAAGTATTTAACTTGGAGGAAATGGCATTTGTTGAAAATCTGCAAATCTGAAGTGTCAATTTTCAGCCGACCTCTATTTGTGAACTGTGAGGAGTAACTTATTTTGTCAGCATACCTTACATACATCATTCCTCGACACCACACGCTATTTGTTAACCACACTTGGAGGGCAAACCAAAAAGGACATCAACAACAATAACGCCTTTAAGCACGCCTTTAACACTTACAGTACCAGTCGTCAGGCCATAATATGTGCTCTTTACCGCTGGGGATTTTAGTCACCGACTCGACCGGGCAAATGAAATATAATTAAATAACAAACGGACCCACTGCATAGAAGTAAATACTAAAGAAAGTCACTCAATATGACAGTTGAATGGTTAATGAACCTCTGTGAATTTTTTTATGTGTTTCTTGAACTGTGAAGGATTTTTTTTATTAAAAAAAATTCTACCATGGCTTCAGCATTCTAAAGTGGTGCTGTACTTCAGGGTTTTTCACTATCAGAGCCTTCGGTACTGTAAGCGTTAAAACACTGCCACGCAATCCGTCTCACCTCCGTGCAGCACCAGAAATAGCACCTGTGTGGGGCAGGCGGAGGCGGACTGGGGTGGGGAGAGGTCGGCGGCCGGCATGGAGCTGTCCAGGCTGTACATCTGTCGGAACTGTTCCACACGCTTGTCAAACTGAGGCTCTGCCGGAAACAATACAAGACAATATATATTCAGATATATGATGTCAAAGTAATTGTCAAAAGAGCAAAAACAAATGTGTTCACTCCTGAAAATCTCACTGACTAAAGAACAAAAACAAACATCGATATATTATGTAAAAATAATTGTCAAAGGAGCAAAAGCAAATACATTGATATGTATGTTAAATTAATGATCTCAAACACGAAACAAATATGTTGACCCCCTCAAAATGTTATTGTCAAAAGCACAAACACAAATACAATGTCCCAAGACTACCTTATTATCTAAAGAGTAAAAACAAATATACTGACCCAAAAAAATCTTACTTCTTACGAACAAAAACAAATACACAGACCCATGAATACATAATTGTTGTCTTTCGAACAAAAACAAATCTATCCACCAATGAAAACCTTATGGTCTCTAAAACAAAATCAAAGAGGGACGATGAGGAGAAGGATGAGTAGGTGGAAGAAGGAGAAGAGAAGTAGAGGATAAGTCTAGAGAGCTGACCGACTATCTCCCTGATTACAAGAGGGGAAGCTGTTGGTGTCAGCGTTGTCATCTAGTATCTCCATGGAGGGGTCAGAGGAGGAGGAGGATAGAGGAGGAGGGGTCTGAGGGGAAGGGGGAGGAGAAAGAGGAGGATGGGTAGAAGGAAGAGGGGGAGGATTGCAAAACTGACTGATCCTCTCCCTGAGTACAAGAGGTGAAGCTGTTGACAACGCCGTTGTTGTCTAGTATCTCCATGGAGGAGGAAGGGGAGCGGAAGGAGGGAAAGGATGAGGAGGAGGAGGAGGAGGAGGAAGAGGAGGAGGAAGAGGAGGAGGAAGAGGAGGAGGAAGAGGAGGAGGAGGAAAATGAGGAGACGGAGGAATGAGAAGAAGAGAAGCAAAGGAGTCTACATCAATGACTGACCAATCTCCCTGAGTTCAAGAGGTTTAAGCGGATCCTGCATTGTGCGGTGAAGGAGGAAAGAGGAGGAGGTGCAGAAAGAGGAGGAGGGAGAAAGAGAAGAACAGGAGGAGTCTACAGAGCTGACTGACCATCTCCCTGAGTACAAGAGGTGAAGCTGTTGGCATCCGCGTTGTCGTCCAGGATCTCCATGGAGGAGGAGCGAATCATGTGTTGTGTGGTGTCCACCTCCACACTGCTCTGTCGCACATCTTCTGTGGGGGTGGGGGGCAGGGGAAGGGGGGATGGGATAGGATTTATAGGGATTAATATATTAACAGTACAGAATATAGACAATGCAAAGAGACTGAATAACACATTGTGTTTGTTTGTGTGTACGTGTGCGTGTGTGTTTGTGTATGGATGAATATGCAACCTTTTTCTTTTTATGGATACAGTAAAAATGAGAGAGAGAGAGAGAGAGAGAGAGAGGAGGGAGGAAGAGGGGGAG